TCGAAGATCAGGTGTACAGTTTGTTAGCCTTGTTACCCAATAGAGTATGCAACCAACACTCAACTACTCTAAAGGGCGAGGACACGAGCAAATACACCTATCCAAGATAAGGAACGTAGAAGCGCCAACACCAAAGAGACGAGGAGGAGACCTGGACGAAATGTCTACGTCTTTACTTGCCTTTGGAAAAGCAACACATAGCTACTCCAAAGGACAAGTAAAGAGGGGCAGCTGTAGACACCCAATTTCGTCCGGGGGCACACAAACAAAGAAATGGACCTCCGTTATGAAGGGAAGGAGCTTCCGAAGCAGGTAAACAACAAGACAGGACATCAGAAGGCCTAAAGGCCAAATAAGGTGGTTTTAGTAGCCCAGAACGGGCTGTTCCAAAATCAGAACGGGACGTTCTGAACCCCGGAATGGGTCGTTCCAATATCAGAACCGGTCGTTCCAACGTAACTAAAAACACCTAAAGAGTCTTGGATGGAACAGACCGTTCCAATACCAGAACGAGCCGTTCCAAACAAGGAAAATTTGGAACAGGCCGTTCTGGAAAGGGAAAATTTGTGTTAATTTCTACTCTGGAACGGGCTGTTCCGTTTTCAGAACAGGCCGTTCCAGGGTACGAAATTTGCACATAACAATTGGGCCAGAACGGGCCGTTCTGAATGTAGAACAGGCCATTCTGGCCCCTTCTAATTCCTATAAATAGAAGCTTCGGGCACAGTTCTCGGGGCGGCCAAAGAAATTTCGAATAAGACTCCTTTGAGCACGAAAATTCTCTATCTCTCTCCCTTCTATTATATTTCTTGAGATTTGTGTCGCATCTCTATATTCTCTCTCCCTCCTATTGTATTTCTTGAGATTTGTGAGGCATACTGTAGTGTGAAAGGTTGCCACAAAGCACCTTCTCCATATTCAATAAAGCTTGTTCAAGAGGTATTTCAGTCAATCTTCTTCTCTTCCTTTTATTTCTCATCTTTATCTTTTTTTTGTTGTAATAAACGTCATAATATAGATATTTTATGGTTAATTGCTTAATTTATATTTTAAATATGTAAATAAATATTAATAAAGGGGATTCAATATTTAATTTATTAATTCTTATCATGTTAACTTCATCATAGGGTACCGATTGAGGGCGCTGTAGGGGTGCTTAATACCTTCCCTACACGTAACCGACCCCTGAACCCAATTCTGGTTATCAAGGCCATTGTTGGATCTTTAAAAACTTTTTCTTTTTCCAATGTTTTGAGTAAAATATTGGTGGTGACTCCATGAACCTATTTTCAAAACCATCAATTAAGGATTAGTCTGGTGTTCGGGCTTTCCTTAATTAATGATACTTTTAAAGGGATGTCTAAACCATAGGTCGTGAGATCGGAAATTTTTGGGTTGCGACAACCGTATGGTGGCCGACTAGGCCGAACACCCGAGTTCCCGACCCGACCGACCCGAATAAATCCCCCGAGCACACTGACCACTCACTATCTGAACGAAACGTGTCGATGTGCTCGGCCAAGTCACGGATTCATGCCAAGATAATTATGAAGAGGTTAATTTACGTAATGCACCGGATTAGCCCCCTAATTTCCCGGGGCCTAGTCCATAATTGCGGCCCAATAAGAATCACTATAAATAGGACACCTGCGAGGTACGTAACTAACTTTTAACTTCCGCATTTATTACGTCAAGCACTTACTTGAGCGTTGGAGTGTCTTTGCAAGCATCCCCCCCTCACCTCGGACTACTCGGTGAAGGACGAGCATACCTAGACCCATGACCATACCCGCTACTACAAGGATAATTGAAGTGTGTATCCTAACACAGGAATATTTGGCGCCCACCGTGGGGCCGAAGAGAAGTTTTTAGCCCCTTTGAACTCTACGACTGAGACCAAGACATGGTAGTAACGCGTAAAGAACCATCAACATCAACTCAACCAATCCCTAACCATGAGAACAATCCCGTCATGACCGGCCAAGAACGATACCCGTACGGAATGCCTCAGACACAACCGGAACCGGTGATACAAGAGGTCCGGTCGAACACCGTCGATGCCCAGCCCGATCTCCACGATGACTTGCGCGCATTGCGCGAGGAAATGGCAGCCATTTGAAGACAGAGAGAAGCCGATGCTAGGGAGTTGGCCGAACTGCGTCAGCAAAATGCCAAGCTCCGAAGTCTGAACCAAACTTACGTGCTGTCTACTCCCACACTTCTAGAGGAGTCGGCCTATCATGCCCCGACCGACCATGTGACCCGAACTCTGGTTACTTCTTTGATTGGTGGCAAGGTCGACACCACTACCCACTCGTTGAGACACCTTTTCTCCCGAAGAATAATGGAGGCCACCCTTTTGGACCATTGGAAGAGCATGCCGATTGAGAAGTATGATGGATCTACCGACCCCGAGGAACACTTGAACGTTTTCTTGACACAAGCGACCCTCTCTACTCAAGATGACTCGGCCTTTTGCCGGATATTCCCCACGTCATTGAAAGGGAGGGCGCTCAGTTGGTTCAGGCGAGTACCGAGCTCTTCCATTGACTCGTTTAATGAGTTGTCATCCTAATTCACACTACATTTTGCGACGAGCAAACCGTACAAGACGACCTCATTAGCGCTGGCGGGGGTTCGCCAAGAGAAGAAAGAAAGCTTGAGAAGCTTCATGGCCCGACTCAACAAGATTGCCATGGAGATCGGCGATCTCAACCCGGCCGTGGCGTTGGACCGGCTACGTACCGCCCTAAGGCCGGGGCCATTTGTGAATAGCTTGTGCAAGAAACTGTCTGGTGATATGAACAATCTCCGACGCCGAGCCGAGAAGTACATGCAAATGGAAGAGCTGACAGAAACCAGAAATCAAGCTAGGGCCGAAGAGGGTTACGGCCGAAAAGAATCCGGTCCAGAGCCAACAAGAAAGGCAAATGCCAAGCCCTCAAGAGCTCTTCCCCCGAGAGGACCACGCTATACAACGTATACTCCCCTCAATACGAGTAGGGCCAAGGTAATGGAGCAGGCCCTCGCTTCGGAGATCCTCGCCATGCCGAAAAGGGCGAACACTCCCCCTAGAGCAGACAAAACCAAAACATGTCGATTCCACCGAAACAGGGGGCACTCGACTGAGGAGTGCTCGGCACTGAAAGATAAGCTCGAGGACCTCATCAAGCAAGGTCACCTTAGGAGCTTTGTCACTCTCCAGGACCACCAGACAAGGGGGAGAGACCACCACTTTCGTGAGGCCGCACAGCCGAGAGACCGACGCTGCCGATCCCGTTCGGCCGAAAGGAGAGATCACTCGTGGCATTCCAGAGAAGACAACGACCAACCAAGAAAAGTAATAAACACCATAGCTGGAGGATCCGCCGGGGGAGGTTCCACCTCATCGGCATGGAAGAGACACCTCCGAGATGTACGATCAGTAAACAGTGTGAATCAGCCGAGAACTCCGAGGATGCCACCAATAACTTTCTCCGATCGAGATTTTCATGGCATCGATCCCGTCCAAGATAATCCCATGGTAATTTCGGTCGAAATGCACAACTGCATCGTAAAGAAAACCTTGGTCGACCAGGGGAGCTCGACCGACATCTTGTATTGGAACACATTTGTATAGCTCGAGATCCCGGAGGAGAGCTTGGAATCGTATCACGAACCACTAGTAGGATTCTCGGGCGAAAGAGTGATGATGAGAGGGTGCATCGATCTATACACTCGTTTCGGCTTCGATCAAAAGTCTTCCCGAGAAATCAAAATCCGTTACATCGTGGGGCATGCAAACATGTCGTACAACATCCTACTAGGCCGACCCTCAATTAATGCACTAGGGGCCATTGTCTCAACCCCTCACCTATGCATGAAATTTCTGTTGAGAGATGGGCAGGTGATAACCGTGCACGCCGACTAGAAGACAACAAGAGAGTGCTACCTCTCTAGCTTGAATGTATAGCCTATCGTCGACCCCTGACGACGAAAGGTGTAAATGTGGTAAGATAGCAGATGACCGAAAGCATCGACCTCGACCCTCGATTAGGCGAGGAAGAGCGAATTGAACCAGCCGAAGACCTTATCCCTTTTCAACTAGGCCGATCACTCGAGCAGGTCACACACATGGGATCCCAACTTAGCGAGGTCGACTCAAACCGGGTGAAGCGAGCGATTCGGGATAACAGAGACCTGTTCGCATGGACGACGTCAGACATGCCAGGGATAGATCCCAAATTCCTGTGCCATTGACTGGCCGTGTGCTGAGATGCCCGATCGGTTGCGCAAAAGAAGAGAAAGATGGGAGACGAGAAGAGAAAGGCCGCCAATGCCGAGGTACAAAAACTGTTGCAAGCAAAGTTCATCACAGAGGTCACTTACACCACCTGGTTGGATAATGTGGTGTTGGTCAAAAAGGCGAATGGGAAGTGGAGAATGTGTATCGACTACATCGACCTCAACAAAGCCTGCCCCAAGGACGCCTATCCACTCCTTTGCATCGACTGACTCGTCGACGGCGCATCCCGGCACTCTATCTTCAACTTCTTAGACGCCTACTCTGGTTACAACCAAATAAAAATGCACCCGGTCGATGAAGAGAAAACGACGTTTATCACCGAGAGCGCCAACTTTTGCTATAAAGTAATGCCGTTTGGGTTGAAGAACGTCGGGGCAACCTACCAGAGGTTAATGGACAAGGTGTTTCAGGGTCAAATCGGCCAAAACATCGAGATTTATGTGGATGACATGGTGGTCAAGTCCAATTCCCTGGCTGATCACATAGCAGACCTAGCTGAAATCTTTGGTGAACTACGCAAGCACAACATGAGGCTCAACCTCGAGAAGTGCACCTTCGGGGTCAAGGGAGGCAAATTTCTAGGGTTTATGCTATCAACGAGGGGGATAGAAGTGAATCGAGACAAGTGCCAGGCCGTGTTAGACATGCGAAGCCCGAGCAACCTCAAGAAATTGCAACGGCTGTCTGGGAGGTTCGTCGCCTTATCCAGATTCCTCCCTCGCCTGGCCGATAAAATCAACCCGATGACGAAGCTTCTGCGAAAGAGTTCGGCTTTCTTGTGGAACGAGGCTTGTGAAGAAGCTTTTATAGTCTTGAAGACGACTTTGGCGATGCTGCCGATCCTCACGAGACCTGAGCCTTCGAGCCCACTCCTGGTATACTTGTCTGTATCCGAGGAGGCGATCAGCTCGGTTTTGGTGCAAGAAAAAGAGGGCACCCAAACTCCCATATATTTTGTCAGGCGACTCCTACAAGATTCTGAGACCCGGTACCAATGATAGAAAAAGTGGCGCTCAGTTTAGTACACACTTCCCGGCGCCTACGACATTATTTCCAGAGTCACCGAGTAGTTGTACATATCGACTGCCCGATATCTAAGGTCTTAGGCAAGCCTGAACTCGCCGGGAGGATGATGGCTTGGTCGGTTGAGCTTTCTTAATTTGACATCGTCTTCAAGCCGAGAGGACCGATCAAAGCCCAATGCCTAGCAGACTTTATGAATGAACTCCACCCGCACGGCCACTTCGAAGAGCATGGGTGGACCCTCCATGTGGACGGTTCCTCAAACTGCCAGGGGAGCGGGGCAGGAGTGATTCTAGAGGGACCGAAAGGGATAACTTTGGAACAATCTTTGCGTTTCCGATTCAAAGCTTCGAACAATCAAGCTGAATATGAAGCTTTGCTGGCTGGATTGAGGTTGGCCGAGGACATGGGTGCATCGAGAACCAAGTGTCGAACCGACTCTAAGGTGGTGGCCGAACAAAAGGGTGGTAATTTCCAAGTAAAAGACCACAACATGATGAAATACTACCATGCCTACCAAAAGTTGAAGGCGAACTTTCAAGAGGTGTTGGTTGAGCACATCCCACGCGAGGATAATACACGAGTCGATCAATTGGCTAGACTGGCCACAACCTAGAAGCCAGGCCAATTAAGAACCATCATCCAGCAAGAAATCGACCACCCTAGTGTCGAAGCTGAAATGGTAGGAAACGTAGACACCGACCACAACGACCCCCTAGACTGGTGAGCTGAAATCAAGGCATTCATCACCAATGGGGTCACGCCCGCCGACTCGACCGAGGCCAAAAGGCTGAGAACGCAGGCCAGTAGATATGTCGTCATCGCTGGACAGTTATACAGGCGTGGGTTCTCTACTCCACTGCTCAAGTGCCTAGACCCCACCGAGGCTGATTACGTGATGCGAGAAGTTCACGAGGGTATTTGCGGAATGCACTCTGGAGCGAGAATAACCATTGCCAAACTCTTGCGAGCCGGGTACTATTGACCGACCATGAATACCGACTGTGCAACATTTGTGAAGAAGTGTCAACCATGTCAGAGACACAGTAACTTGATCCACCAACGGCCGAGCAACTGCATTGCATTCCCCCAGCATGGCCGTTCGCCACATGGGGGCCCGACATACTTGGACCTTTCCCGGTTGCGAAGGGGCAATGCAGGTTCCTCATCGTCGTTGTGGACCTCTTTACTAAATGGATTGAGGCCGACCCCCTAGCAAGCATCTCGGCTCAACAAGTACAAAAATTCCTTTGGAAAAATATTATCACCCGATTCGTGTCCCATCAACCCTGGTGACCGACAACGGTCTTAATTCACCGATCGAAAGCTCAACGAATTCCTAGCCGGACTAGGAATACAACACAAGGTCACTTCGGTCGAGCACCCACAAACGAACGGTCAAAGCTGAGTCCGCCAACAAAGTTATCTTGACAGAGTTGAAGAAGCGGCTAGGGGAAGCAAAATAAGTATTGGCCGAGTAGTTGCCCGAGGTGTTGTGGGCATATAGATGCACGCCCCAGTCGACTACATAAGAAACCCCCTTCTGCTTAGTCTATGGGTCTGATGCAATGATCCCAGTGGAAATTGGGGAACCATCATTCCGCCGAGCCCACTTCGACGAGTCAAATAATGAAGCTGAACTCCGAGCAAACCTGGACGTCGTCGAAGAGATCCGAGACCGAGCACTAGTGGTAGCCGAGGCATGCAAGCAACGCTACAAGAAGAAATTTGACACCAAGGTACGACCAAGAGAATTCAGGGAGGGCGACCTCGTATTGAGAGTCACAGGTGAAGCAAGGAAGGACCCAAGGCATGGAAAACTCGCCCCAAATTGGGACAGACCCTTTCGCATACGACACAACTTGAATAACGGAGCGTACAAGCTAGAGTACCTATCAGGAGAACCAATTCTGAGGGCTTGGAACTCCACACATTTAAAGATGTATTACAGCTAATGTAATAGTGCACTCTTTTCCTTGACCGACTCTTTTTTCCCTAAGGAGGGTTTTGGGTCGACAAGGTTTTTAACGAGGCACTTCATTAATACAAGACATTTTTTAATATTGATCACTCAATTCCCTATTTTACTATATATATACGTTTAGGTCGCGCTCATGCAGGTCCAACCTTGGATAACACACGCCGACGCCGAGCAATCCTCGGCTGACCACTCACAAACGTGCGCTCGAGCCCTACAGGTTTCCCTCTCGAGTACCCTCCTCGGCTAAGGATGTACCTAGGCCGAGCATTACGACACGCGCCGACGCCCAGCAATCCTCGGTCGACCACTCAAACGACGTGCACTCGAGCCAGACAGGTTTCCCTCCCGAGTACCCTCCTCGGTTAAGGATGTACCTAGGCCAAGCACTGCAACTCACATGCCGATGCCGAGCAATCCTCGGCCGAACACTCAAATCGTGCACTCGAGCCAGACAGGTTTCCCTCCCGAGTACCCTCATCGGCTAAGGATGTACCTAGGCCGAGCACTACAACTCATACACGCCGACGCCGAGCAATCCTCAACCTACCAGTCAAACAACGTACACTCGGACCCAACAGGTTTCCCTCCCGAATACCTTCCTTGGCTAAGGATGTATCTAGGCCGAGTAATGCAACTCACGCATCCCCCTCCAAGGACAGCTTAGGCCGAACACTCTCAAACCGAGCACTCACGCGTGCTCCAACACTTCGCGTATCAAGTCGCGTGACCCAACATTTCGAGACCGAGCACGCTTAGGCCCAACACTCTCAAACCAAGCACTCCCGCGTGCTCCACATTTCACTTATCAAGTCGCGTGGCCCAACATTTCGAGGCCGAGCACGCTTAGGCCGAGCACGCTTAGGTCGAACACTCTCAGGCCGAGCACTCTCACGTGCTCCAACACCGCGTATCAAGTCGCGTGCCCTAACATTCCGAGGCCGAGCACGCTTAGGCCGAACACTCTCAGGCCGAGCACTCTCGCGTGCTCCAACACCGCGTATCAAGTCGCGTGCCCCAACATTTCGAGGCCGAGCACGCTTAGGCCGATCACTCTCGCGTTATCAAACACACACCAAGCATCAATTATCTACCAACTCGCGAACTTTACCCCCCCTCGGCCGAACATGCAAATCGATTATTTTTACATTACTAGGCATTAATGAACATGGCAAAAACTGGAAAGCAAAATAACATTTCATTAAAGTATGGCTGATCAGTACGGCTATTTACACAAAAAATCATTTTTGTCCATGACGCTAATGGCCGATCACAAAAGGCACTAATGGCCCGATTACAAGCAAGCAAAAGATCCTAACCCTAACCTACTACCACCAGAGCCGACCTCCTATACCGTCGCCGAGTCCTCTAGGTTCCCATCGCCGACCATATAAATGATCGGTTCCTCCTCCCTGGTCGGCGGCACTGGGGCCTGAGTTGAAATGCCTCAACGAGGAGCCTCTTCGTCAGGCTAGGCCCCTTGTGGGAACTCGGCGTAGCTTATGAACTTGCCACCGTAGAAATCTCGACTAACATCAAAATTAAAGTCAGTCGGGACCTCACAGAAGTAGAAGGCTTGTCGGACTGCATGCTGGAAACCGGCATCATGCTGGTTGAGAATCTTCTTGGTGGCCTCGACCTTGAATTTGGCAGTAGCCTCGTTGAGCCGAGCAATCTCGTTGGCAGCAGCGGAAGCCTCGGCTTTCAACTTTTGGACCGACAACTTCAAGTCGTCGGCCTCCCTCCTATGGGCGTCAACTGCCCTCTTTAGCCCCTCTGCCGACTCCGTTGCCTTAGTGTTGGCGCTCAACGCCTCCTTCAACGTCACCTCGGCCTCCTTAAGGCGCCCCTGCAACCTCTCCTCCGAGATAGCCGACCTCATCATAACATGTTTGGCAATAAGAGAAGTCCGAGCATCAAGCTCACAAAAGAGCTTATACTCGGCCTCTACGGACATGCCCTCCAAATATTGAAGCCCGCCGCCAGAGGTGAGGTCAAGGTTGACCAAGTTCTCGATCTGGACGTTTGGCACGAGGAAGTTCGACCCGGCCACGACTGCCAGGATGGCAAAGGCTCCACATCCCGACTACTCCAAAGTCGCTTGCTTATGGCGCTTAGTCGAAGAGCTCGGTCGGTCCGACTCTATGTTCTGCTCAACCGAACGCGCTCTAGCCGAGCTCCCCTTCTTCTTGGCGTCGGCAATAGGGATCACAACCCCTTGAGGTTTCTCCCTCTGAAGTTTCAAGGCCGACCTTGCAGGAGGCACCTTCCCACTTTCCTTAGCAGCCTTTGCTCGATTTGCGAGCATAACGGTCACATCTAGATCATCTCCAGCCATTAATCCTGCAACAAAACAAGTCTTAACATCAATTCAAAACACTGCTACATCACCGAAACCTAAAACACATACCTAGCAAGGCAATCTCAAAATGTGACGTTTCAAAAATGTCCAGGAGTCCTCGAACAGGCAGCCCTTTCGGCAACTTGTTCAGGAGCTCCACAATCTCCTTGTCCTCGTAGGAAGCTTCGACGCAGGCATTGCCTCGAAACGCGTCGGGTGCTTCGTCCAGTAGAAAGGGAATAGCGGGGATCCCTCTCAGTCGTAAAAACAGTTCTTCATTTCCGACCCCCAACAGACTTTGAAGAAGCCACTCTTAAACCCTTTGTAAGAGGATGTGAACGCCCGCAGGAACCCACGCTTCGGCACCCGAGCCAACGAGACCCATTTCACCGGTTTGCTCGGACGACAAATATAATAAAAAAGGAAGGCTAGTGGTCGGGGCGTAAGACCCAAGCAAAGACATAGGTTCCGGATTGCTTGCATGGCCGCCCAAGCATTCAGATGCAGTTGGGTCGGCGCCACGTTCAGTACTTGGAGCACCCCCATTTGAAAATCATCGAAGGGCAGCTTTATGTCGAGATCCTCGAACCAGCACATGTAGGCGTAAAAGTAATCGTCTTCTTCGGTTCCCGGCTCCAAGAATACAAAGTCGGTCTCCGGCCCATCGTCCTGGCACGCCTCGGCAAGTAAAGGCAATTCATCTTCCCCGCTCTCGAAGCACTTCTCCAAGGACACGAACGTGTCCAGTAGCCCTTGGTCGGATAACGACGAGAAGTATATGCCGACCTCCCCGTCCACCCACTCGTAACTGGGCATTTCAACCGTGCCATAGTCAATTTTTACCTTCACCCGAGTTCTTGGACCACCCACGACTTCGCCCTGGGTATCGCCGAGCACACACACGTCATCTCCACTCGTTCCAGCGTGAGGGGCCTTGTCGTTGACACGTGCCAAGGCCACTGCTACTGTCACAGGAGGTGACACCTCCACCACCTCGTCTTCGCTACTTTCTTGCTCGGTAAAATCCGAGGGGAACACCACCTCACATTGCAACGGAGGCAGTCGTGACACGTCACTCGAACCCAACCCCTCTCCCTTTGACGAAGCACCCGACGCCTTCGATGACGTCCAACTCCTAGCCGAGGAGTACCCTCTATCCATTTATTACCAGAAAATAAAATACAAAATTTTACCTTGATCGGTGAGTTCGGACGAATCTGAATTTCAGAGCCCTCGGGAAATTTACAGCAAGTAAATTCCCACACACCCCCCTATTTATAGGCGAGGTAAATAGGGG